TTATATTTTCCTGAATATGCTCATTATTTTCTTTTCCTCGAATGAATGACATGGTTTGAAGTTTATCATATTTTGAATTTACTCTCAAAACGACATTTTCGAAGATGATTTTTTTAAAGTTAATATTAGGTAAGAAGAAATATAGTAATTTCATTTTCTCAGGTGAATTTATTACAATCCTACGTAAAGGCTTGGTTATGTTCATGTTGTTAAGAAAATACGCAGGTTTAAAAAAACCAATTTAACACAAAAATACGATACCCTATAACCCGAGCGCTTTCGAAAGGTGGACTATTTTTTCTTCCCCAGTTTTCCCCTAAAAAAAGGAAGGTCCGCCTTTCGAAAGTGCTAGGGTTATAGGGTATTTTTCTGTTTTAAAGGCTTAGTTATTTATGACACGTAGGCAAAAATGTTATATATATATATATATATATATATAATTTGACATCATATATTTTTTAATGTCCAATCCCACAGGAACTGGTAAAACATGTTTTAATACTAGTTGTTATTTGGCTTTTTATTTAATAGTATTGATTAAGATATTAAAAGTCTTTGTTTTCCTCAAACTTCAGAAACGCAATTTGCTAGTATTTATTTCTTTAAAAACTGTCAAAAGTACTCTTGTGAAAATATGAAGAAAGGCATGATTTGTCATAATGAATATCGTGATTTGTTTTTTCTTTTCAACATTGACGAGCTGCTAAGAGCGTATTAAGCTACGCAGAATTTCATCGTAAACCCCAATGACTCAGCTGACACCCCACATATTTTTTGAGAACCAGTTATATCCTGTTTGTCAATATGGCGGCGTAGCAGTTGTCCACGCACATAGCACGTGATAGCTGTATGACTTGTCTAGACTACTTGATCTTCAGTCATAGCCTCTGCCGTACCATCAATGCCTTGGCTCTAAGTATTCTAGGCCGTTAAACCAAGTCCTTGGGGCTTGGTAGATATACCAGTCGCGCGGTTAATTTAGTGTTGCTAGGCAACAATATCTGATAAGGCGCATTGGTAATAAGTTCCTGAGAGCCACCAGCCTCAAGGTGACCCTTTGCATGGCGGAAACTGGCGTGCTTGGTATTACATTAGGGAGTTGGCACACTGGCATGTTGAAACAATTGCCCGCTTCTACTCCAATCATCGGAGTGTGCACTCAACATGAGTCATCGTTTCTGCTTAGCAGTAGATAAACCAGGAATATGATTCTTCTGGGGATTGAGCTAGATTACGAAATATAGTCACTGGCGTATTTGTGAACAAACTACGTTTAACAAATGACACGGTTTTGGTGTACGCGTCTTATCAGTACGGGTTCTTTCAGCATAATCTAATAGCGTATCTTTAGTCGATTTGGTGACAAGAGAAGAAAATACTAATGATATTATTTTTGATTCTTAATTTATATAGACGTAACTGACTGTTGTTTTTCACTTTATTGTAATGCATTTAATAATGATTTCTTTGTTTAATTTTTAGACGTATTTTGTTCATGGTTGTAAAGCATCACAACTTAACGTCTAGTAATTATACAAATAAACATTTGATCAAAATATTGCAAACCTATACTTAAATGTGGTATATTAAAATTGTAATAATATTATATCCTCAAAAAATGTGCAGTTTCGTTATAAGAGATTACATGAATTGGCGCCCGCAGGAAGGGGCAAGAGAGGGCATTTGCCCTCACTTTCATTTCACAAAAAATTGCATGTATTATGATATAAACTTAACATAGTAGATAAACTAAGTATTTTTAGTAATTTTTATTTAAAATGTACATAAGTGTTTAAGCATACATAACGCATATTCTTTTGCTCTGTTGACTTACCGCCCTTTCAACCGTGGGGGCGTTATAATTCAAAACAAACAAATAAACTGTTGACTTGCACTGTAAAAAACTGATCCCCTACATACATGTTTTGTCCCCCCCCCCCCCCGAAAATATTTCTGTATGCGCACATATAGAAAATAAAAGTTTTGAGACGACTTGACTGGGTAATAGAAAAAAAAATTATTATAAATGTACGACGTTTCGACAATATTTTGGTACCTGAGGATGACAATTTTGTTGAAACGTTGTTGAAATCTATTGTTACGACAGCGGAAGTCACGCAATTCTGGGAGCATGCATGCTGGAGTTTTTCTAAGGATCATGAATTTTCCTGGCAACTCTAGTTTATTCCTCACGCCCTCCTTTTAAGTATATAAGCCCGGCAAAAAAAAAGATAGAATTGCATAGATAGATAGATAGATATAGAGATAGATAATTGAGTCAAGCAAACAGTTGGCACCGTAAGTAAAGTGTGTGAAACACTGTGAATTATAGCGTGTGTTTATAAAAGTAGTTAAGTTAAAGTGACTGTAGAAATTCTGTG